CCCGGGACACCGGGAGGGGTCAGGACCCGTCCCCGTGTTTGTCCCGGGACACCGGGAGGGGTCAGGACCCGTCCCCGTGTTTGTCCCGGGACACCGGGAGGGGTCAGGACCCGTCCCCGTGTTTGTCCCGGGATACCGGCGGGGCCCGGTGCCGTTCCCAGGCCTGTCCCGGTGCCCAGCGCGGCTGCCGGGAGCCGGCTGTGCCGCAGGGCCCGTTACCGGCCGCGGGCCCGGGCCCTACGCTGCCCCTGCCGGTACCGGTACCGCTGTCCCTGCCGGTTCCGCTGCCCCTGCCGGTACCGCTGCCCCTGTCCCTGCCGGTACCGCTGCCCCTGCCGGTACCGCTGCCCCTGTCGCTGCCGGTACCGCTGTCCCTGCCCGTACCGGTACCGGTGTCGCTGCCGGTCCCGCTCACCGTTTGATCCGCAGCAGGCAGGCCGGGCTGGGCCGCTCGCTGTCCCAGTCGCCGCTGACCGTGGGGTCCCAGAAGGCGGAGTGCGTGAGGAGCGCGGCCCCCGCCGCCGCCGCCGCCATCGGGGCGCCGCCGCTGCCGGGAGCCGCGCCGCTGCCGGGAGCCGCGGCCGCGCCGAAGCCCGCCGCCGCCCAGAGCTCGGCGGGGATGAACACGCCGGGGGTCCCCGCGGCGCCGGGGGAGGCGCTGCCGCCGCCCGCCGCCAGCACCGCGGCCGGGGCCGGGGCCGGGGCCGCGTCCTCGGCCGCCGGGCTCTCCGCCATTGCGGCCTCGGCCCGCGCCGCTTCCGGGACTCCGCACCACCGAGGCGCGCGGCCAGAGCGGCCCCGCGCCGCCCACGCCGCCCGCCCCCGGCACCACAGAGCGGCGGCAGGAGCGGCCCCGCCGCAGGGGAGCAGCGGAGGGCGAGCCCGCGATGGCGCCCCCTGGCGGGCGGGAGGTCCGGCGGGAGAAACGGGCTTTGGGGATTTTTTGGGAAAGGGGGAATTTGAAGAACGGCGGGATCACGGAAGGAAAAGGGTGGGAAAGAGCTCTGGGATCGGCGCTGGGCAGGGAACGGGGCTGCCGGAGATCCCGGACGCTGAGGGATGCGCAGCGGGCAGGGCTCGGGCGGGATGAGCCCGCTGGATCCTTTCCCGCTCGGGACATTTCAGGATTTTTCCGGGATCATCAGCCCCCAGCACCGCCCGGCAGCGCTCACCGGGATCCCCGGAACCCCTCCCGGGACTGGGCAGCTCTGCCAGGGCTGGAGCCCTTCCAGCAGAGAGATCCCTTCCCGAAATTCCAACCCAAACCTTTCCTGGCACAACTCGAGGTGCCGGACGGGCTCAGGGTGCTGGGGACACAGGGAAGGGCTCGATCCCGCTTTGGATCCCCTCTGGATCCCCTTTGGATCCTCTTTGGATCCCAGCAGCGGGATCAGGCAGCAGCCAGCGGCTCCCAGAACCCCCAGGATGGAAAAGAGAGGTGGGAAAGGGGAAAAGGAACATTCCAGGAGCATCCCAGCCCCCAATTCCAGCTCCAAGGACGCTTTCTCTTCCCAGGGATCCGAGGAATTCCGAGTCCCGTTTCCCCAGGGAGGATAACTGTAACTCCTCGCGCAGTAACAGCGTCCTTCTCCCTGGAACATTCCCAAAGGGCTGTCCCGGCTTTAAACGGACACATTCCTGCCCAGAATCCAGGGAATTTTCCCTCTCCAGCTGAGCCAGCATCTCCCGAATTCCTTCTGTCTTCACAGCCACGTTTCTCCAAATCCTGCGGCTTTTGGAGCCGAGTTCTCCCCTCCCTCTTCCCCTCACAGGAATTCCATCCATCCCTATTCCCATTCCTAGGAATGTCCCGAGCAGAGCCACCCATCCCTGTGTCCCAATCCCATTCCCATGTCCCATCCCTGTGTTCCATTCCCATTCCTGTGTCCCAATCCCATTCCTGTGTCCCATCCCTGTGTCCCATCCCTGTGTCCCAATCCCATTCCCATGTCCCATTCCCTGTGTCCCAATCCCATTCCCTGTGTCCCATTCCCATGTCCCATCCCCGTGTTCCATTCCCATTCCCTATGTCCCAATCCCATT